TTTATTAATTTTTATTAATTTTTATTAATTTTTATTAATTTTTATTAATTTTTGTTAATTTTTATTAATTCTATTATATTTTTTAATTTATTTTAACTAATTTTTATTTACTTTTATTTATTTTTATTTATTTTTTTTATTATTAATTATTTCTATTTATTTTTATTTATTTCTATTTATTTCTATTTATTTTTATTTATTTTTATTTATTTTTTTTTTATTTTTCGATGCTCCCCATTTTCCTTCCTCCTTAAAATGTGAAAATCCAAAAATCTTGAAATATGTCATTATTTACTTATTATGAGTAGCTACAATCCCTATTTTCAAATTTCTACAATTAAAAAACTGAAAGCCTTATTCAAACTTTCAATATGTAAAATCCAAATACTTTGAAAAATATCTGTTTATTTATAAAAAGTACGTACAATTCCATTTTTCAAGTTCCTACCATACAAATTTTCACTCCCCACACATTTTCCCCATTTCCCCAATTTCCCCCATTTTTTTTCTTTTCTTCATTTCCCTTCTTACCCCCATTTTCCCTCTTTCCCCTCCTGAAATATGAAAATCCAAGAACCTGAAACACCATTATTTATTTGTGATGAGTAGCTATAATTCCAATTTTCAACTTCCTACTTATTATGGAGGGTAGAAAAAAGGAGGACAATCTTATATGGATCTTTATATTAAAAAGTGGCCACCAAAATGTATACAATTAAGATGGCGCTCGTGTAGCCAGGGGACAAAATCCAATGCTATATAGTCATATAGATTGCTCATTCTTAAGAATTATTTATTGTTTATATTATTATTTTTCAATAAAATTTGACTATTGTCGTGTATTATCAAAATTTATCTAAGATCACAGAACACTTACTCTTCTACGACCAGTCACTTTTCACGGTGTAGTTTTTAGTTTTCTATGGTTGAGCAATATTTATTACTATATACATCATTGGTGTCATTGTGTGATCTGAATTATCGACTGTCGACGTCCCCTGGGCACAGAAGCGCCATCTTAATTGTATACATTTTGAGGGACACTTTTTGTATACAGAGATTGTTCTCCTTTCCTCTACCCTCCATACTACTTATAAAAAAATCAATGCAAACTTTTAACCCCTGTTTCCCCTCCTTAAAATGTTAAAAACCAAAAGCCCTAAAACACGTCATTATTTATTTATGCTCAGTAGCAGTATTTCAAATTTTCATGTTTCACTACCACTATGCAAAAAATTATGTCCGATCACTTGCTCTGTGAAAAACAAAAACAAATCAATCCCAGGGGAACCGTACATTTGTTCATAATAAAAAGTAGCCTACGTGCCATTCCAGGCTATAATCTATATTTGTGCCAAATTTCATCCAGATCCGTTCGGCTGTTCTTGTGGGATTGAGCAACAAACATACATCCATCCATCCCTCCATACATCCATCCAAACTTTCGCATTTATATGATTGGCCACAGGGTTGCCATATCTAAACTGTCAGTTCCCACTTGTCAGCATTTTGACAGGTCGTTGGAATGCCTAATTGTGATTGGGCACAATTAAAAAATCAAAATACTCAGCTCAAGGTTGTCAAGGGTGGACAGAAATTGTTGACTTGAGTTTTGATCATTTTGAAAAAGCTAAAGTAAAAAAAGTTTTTATAAAATTAAAAGTTTTGAAATAAAAAAAGAAAAAGAAATTAGTAAAGTTTTAACTTCAATCTTACAAAATAGAAGAAAGACTAATCGGTTTGAGATAATAATTTTTAAACATACGTATCGTCAGCGAAATACACCATGGGTTGAATGACATCCGCCATTTGCATTTGCAATTATGCTGTACACAGGACTGGACATTGACTGGATATTCACATTTAGCTATTCTCGCTAAAAAAAGGTTTCATTGAAAGAAATCTTTTATAAAACACAAGACATTGTAAGTTTTACTAAATTATTTTAATAAGAAAAAAGATTCACTGGAGTATCACAGTTAAAATTAGATGGGAATTTACAAAACACAGATGGTGGTTAAAAAAATAAAAATAGCAATAGGGAAGGAGAGATACAGACTATGAAATGGCAGCAGCATTATGGTGGAGTGTAAATGAAGAAAGCTGTGAAAAATATGGAAGAATTTCAAGAAAAGTTTCTGAATTATTTTTGGGGTGATATAGTACAGTCAAAAGTTCGAGAAAATTTGTACATAGGAAAATTTAAAGAAGGTCTCAGTAGTAGAGAAAGCTATGCAATGAAAAAATTCGACAATATAAAGTATTTAAGTCCGGTTATTATATCAGAAGATACAGTCAAATATGTAGCAAGACATTGGAGATTATGTAGCAATCAACGATATTAAGGATCCGGTGAAATTTATTGAATATTTACAGCGAGTAGATGCTATTAAATCTTATAAGCCAAGAAACAGGTGGGAGGAGGGAAGAGTTTCACAAAATAACAGTGAAATGAGATCGCAAGGTCAAACCGAGTGGAATGATGAAAAACAACAGACAAGAGAATTGCGGAAATAAGAATGAGAGTTATTCAAACAAAGAAAACCACAATAATTATAAAAATTACAATATGGATGGATATTACAAAAACGATCGAAATGATAATAATAATTTCAGGATTAGATGGCAAAATAATAATTTTAAAAGAGATATTATGACCAAAAGCGTAAGACAAATCAAACTGGACAAGACCAACCCAGAAAAAATTATCAAAAAAGAAGAGAATATAAAACAAATGATAGTATAAATAAACTGCAAGAAGAACGAAGAAATATTTTTCACGATAGAGAGAAACTTTCAAGCAAATAATATTATTGAAGATCAAAATAAAATGGAAGTAGATGTCATGGTACATGAAGATAAAGGAAGGAAACAAAAGCAAGAAATATACAACCAACATTTTTAAAAAATAGCAGATCAAAATTAAAAAGTAATAAAATACAAAGTAGTTATTGTCATCCAAAACAATTTATTTCACTATAAGCCGGAAGAAATAGACGCGAATGTGACGCGAAGCCCTCTCTGTACTTTGCTTACTCCTTGCCTAAGGTATGAAGTCTAGCGCTGGCCATATAGAGACAAACGCACCGCTTCGAGAAGCTGCTGGAGTGATTACTTTGCGGCGTATGAGTGATAGAGAGACAGTTTTCGATCGTTCTGGAAAGCCAAGAGTGTTCTGGTACGAAGCTGGCTTTATATAAATAGCGTGAGTTTGTCGACGGATAAGAAGATTCAAATTAAGTGTGGGATAGTAAAGACAAATTGTAATAAATTAGAATTGTGAGTTGAGTTATAGATAAATAAATAAACTATAAATAAATTAAACAAACGGTGCATTGGTGTCACAAGTGGGATTGTAAATAAATAGTACACAATAATATGTAAAAAACTGTGCCTGAGTTACGTCGAGAATTAGAAGAACGTGAACTGGAGACGTAAGGGAAGAAAGAGCTGGCAGAACAACTTAAAAGAGCACTAGAACATCAAGGTTTGGATTTGGAAACGTTTCTATTTTCGGTTCATGCGCATCTGCTATAATTTCTTCAATTTCTTCCGATATGGAAAGTCAGATCTCTTTCATAAAAACAAATATTTCTTCTGACATTTCTTCATTAGAAATAAAGTTTCTTTAGACATTTCTTTTTTAGATAGTAAAGTTTCTTCTATAGAAGAAAAGGTGTCTTCTGACATATCTTCTTTAAAAATAGAAATTTCTATATACCCAGACAGTACAAATAGTCCAATGGACGTCCACTTAAGATCCATTTGAGGGCCAGCACGTCCATATCCGTATTCGGACATCCAGTGTACGTCCGTTTATGATCATTAATTTGACAGCTGCCTATCGATGTCCAGATGACGTCTGTTTTTGGACTTAATTTTAAGTTTAGTATTATTTTGACGTCCAGTGGTTAGGTCATTATTTATTTAGCCTACCAGATAATACTCATCTATATATAAAAACTTTTTAATAGAATTGGTCATTAAAAATTGACAAATTAAATCTTGTTACATTTCACTCTATCAGCGGAAGTTTGAAATCTTATTCTATTATAACCTTATCTAGTAAGAATTTTTCAAGTGGATCCTTGGTCGAGGTCGCCTAGCGCTTGAATGCCTAGAACGACAATGGACGTGTCGTGAGTTCGATCCCTTCTCTTGTCAAGTGATTTTTAATTGTATATCGAATGGACGTCCAATGGACCTATTTGTGCTGTCTATATATACCCAGACAGCACATTGGACGTCCATAAAAGGTACAGCAGTTAAAATCGTTTTGTAGTATCGCAAGGAAAGTAAAATAATGTACTTATCCTTTTTCAAATAGGATTCTGATTATACACCGTATTAGTTAAATAATACAGGGCAACAAATTAACCAAATGCGGAACTATCAGAATGTTGTTTTTTATAATCATTTCTCTGAATTTCACACGTGATTTTTGTCCAGCTAATTTGCTATGATCAAAACCCTGTGCATTGGTGTGGTTGTGTGTTCTGAATTATCGACTGTAGGCTTTACTCTAGTACAGCTGCGCCATCTTAATTTTATACATTTTGGGGGACACTTTTCGTATACAAACCTCCAAAATCTGGCCTATTCACAGGCGTCCAAAGATTTCCTAAAACAATTCGACATTCAAGCATTCATTGATGTGTGATATTGGACGCAGAATAACAATATTTATATACATCTCGCCATCTCGAATGTTCTCGTACCCTGCTCGATCCCTCCAGTTTTTAGAATAGCTCTTTTGCCAAAATCGATGTCTCTAGAAGTTTCGCCATGAATTATTCAATCAGACTTATGGCGATTGGAGGCGTCCCTATAAAGGGGTTTCGGAGTTTGACTGCTGGTCCTTCTTTATGCTGTGGTCAAAGGATTCACCATAAACTAAACTGAAGGATTTTTTAGTTGAAATACCTAAAATAACTTTCTTTAATCGTGTTTCAATTGAATAGTCCTCGTATTTATTATTCGTCTTTATTCGTTTTTTCCAGGTAATCTTCCACTTCAAAAATATATTCGGACCGCAACTGAGGTCAATAGTGAGTGATCCACAAAGTATCGACAACGTTGCCAAGAGAGTCGACAGGCTGGTGGTTCAAATTGAAAATACGGATTTTGATATTTTCGATATGTACAGTAAAGAAAATTGGGATGCGATCATGGTTCATTTCTATAAAGAAGTGAAAATTCTAGAAGAAGAAGCGCTAGGTTTTATCGATCAAAGTTTCAAAATGATTAGGTAAATATTCGATTAGGTACCTTTCCTGAAAATCTGCCTATACGTGCCCAAAAGGGTTGTAAGGGATAGTCCCGAGGTTGGGAACTTTTTTGGAACCTAAATGTTTAATATATTGAACCCTTATCCTGGCTCCTAACTACTGCTTTATTGAAAACCACTTTGTTTTTGATATTTAGGTACTTGGAATTTGAAAAGGTTAAAAAAATAATACGATTTAAGAGGGCATGACTCAAAATTAGGTAGTTATGTAGATGGCGACTCAGTTTTTTTCTCGTTTCATGTTTATTTTAAAAAGTATCTTATATAAAAAAAAAATTAAATGTAATTTGTTTATTTAGGAATGATGTATTTTATTTCTCTCAAAGTCTAATTTTAATCCAGAACATTGATTGTTTATTACGCCTGAATTTAAAAGTGTAAAATATTTAGGAAAATAAAATAGAATCTCGCCCTACATGAAAAACCTATTTATCAATTTATATACCGGCTATAATTGACAGTTGCCCAGGGTAGCATTCTTGAATTCGAGGGAATAGAAAACCGGTTTTTACTTTCTATCTGCCAAAATTTGTAATTTTGTCTCATTCTTCCTTCAAAATTTTTACTCTATGAGATTCAAGAATAGATACCCAGTAGCGGATCTAGGAAGGAGTGGCCGAGAAGTAAAATGGCAACTGGTATTTTTTATCAACTGCATGAAACGTCCCAAAAATGTATTTTAAACCACTGAGAAGCAATTTTATATATTTTTTTAACAGTGCTTATTAGAATTTATAAATAATCTATATATAATTTTTAGGTCATCAGAAGATGCGCTCGATATGTTATTGAAGTTTAAGCTTTTCGAAACTAGAAAGATCATTATGAAAAAATTAATGTCAAAGTTTGACGTCATATTGGATCAATATGTAAAGGAAATTTTATTGGTCGACGATAATTTCACCGTAAGTAGTGCTACAATTTTCGTATAAAGTACTTGTTTTTCCTGTCTGGCATAGCTGTAAATTAAAAGAGCGACATACCGGCAACAGCGTATCCATGATGAGTGTAGAAATTGTGCATGATTCAACTTTCTACACACGTAAATAACAAGGAAAGGTTGCCCTAAAGCACCCCAGATTTGGTCCCTTGTTGGTCCTGGACCTAAATCAGATGTCCACTGCACTTACGATTAATGTGAATACTAGGTTTGGTCTCGTTTCGAAAAAGCGTTCAGTTTTCGGTCCGAGTCCAAGACGTTAATGTGACGTCAATGGGACGTCTATGGGACTTTCTATGTACTAGCATCATTCATTCATTTCAAAAATCTTTATTTACAATATGTACATATGTCGTTCTAATAACAATAAAAATAAACAATATTAGACCAGGATCTCTTCTCAAAGAACTCGTGATGCTTGTACCAGTATCGTTGGTCTTTGAATCGATAACTTGAAATTCAAAGTTTTGTTTTTGCAAGAGTAGGAGAAGGACAGAAAACCTAACCTATAATTTATTTTCAAATGAACAATAACAGCTACAATTTGCGGTATTAAATAATTAACTTAGATAAGTGTGTTAGATTAACGAAGAAGAAAAGAAGGATATATAGTGTTATTTATTATTTTTTTGATGTTGGCGGTAAAGTGCAGTGGCGGCTCGTGGGCAGGAAAACAAGTTCTCCGCTTAATGAAAATTAAATATATTTCAAAACAAATTAAATAATACAAAATTGAAGACTTACTGCTAGGTACCGCTGCAGTTGTATACTATTTCTTATAGTTGAAGTCCATTCTTCTGGATTTTTGAATAGCGAAGTGATCGATGACCAGATTATTAAAAATTGGAATGGACCGAATTAGTTTTTTTTTTCGATGGATAACATAGCCTATCGCGCACAATCTATCTTGGCACATAGTGTTCCTTAAAAATGTTTTAATACGTTTTAGTGTCGAAAAACATCTTTCACTCTCCACTGTGGTCATGGGAATTGTACACAGGATAGTTAGCAGCTCCACAGATTCCGAAAATGTAATTGTCAAATTGTTCTCAAAAAACATTTTTAATAAAGATACGGCCCCATTGTGTTGCACAAAGTTATCTCGGGTGTAAAGTATGGACAGTTCGTTTTTGAATTTTAAGCTGTTTACGTTTGGAAATAAACTACATACAGTTTTAACGTCCTCATTTGGAAAACAACCTCGGTAATCTTTAAATTTTTCACTATCAAATAAACTTGCAATTGTTAAGTGGGTAGTAAAACTAAAACGTTCATTTACCTGCACTACTATTGTATCACAAATTTCCTTACATATCCTTAAATTAGGAATGGGGTCCTCCTTTTCAACAAACCGTCTCTTCTGGCTTGTACTTGGACCTGATTGGGTGTTGTCGTTTAAGTTTAGTTCTTGTGGGTCTTGTTGTGATTGCCATTCTTCATGAATTAGCGTGTCTATAATATTTCTAATATTTTGAATAGCTGCTGCAAAATTTGATATGTTTATCTTAACCTTGAGAGCATCGAGCTGTCTACTCTGCAGTTGATCAAAAAGTATATCGCAATTTGGCATTATTTTGCTGAAGAAAAATAACCAGAAACTAAAATCTGTCTCTCAAAATTTATCAACCCTTTAGTCTGATTAATAGTTTTTTTTATCGAATTCTGTGTTCATAATTTCTTCCAGACATTATATCAAATCCTCTTTATAAACATAAATAGTATTGACACACTTCGATGTAAAATTCCATCGTGTAGGAGCATTTTAAAGCATACGACTCTGAAGAAAAGGTGTTTGGCAATTTAAAATCTCCCAGCGAAAAATTTATCTTTTATATTTTCAAATTAGAAAAAATATTTATATCTCTATTTGATAGTTTCTCAACTAAGCCTGGAATTTCCAACGCATACCTTTTTGAGATGAGCAAAATATAATTTGGTCATCCCCTTGCCAACAATTTCCGAAAACGTACACCATTAAATTATTTATAAGACTCAGAATTTTTTATACTCTTAAATATGCAAACAGAGATTTGAAATCCTCGAAAAAGTCAGACAAAACCAAAAGAAAAATTAAAATGTTGTCCCATTTATAAATATTGATTTTTTTTATCATATTTTTGACTGCTTTATAAAAAAAAAGTTATTCTTCTTTTTAGTTTTATTTCTTAACTATTCTAATGGTCCAACTAACGTTTTTTCGTAATCACAATAAATAAATTATTATCATGGTCCAACAAACGCGCACCTTAAGCCGAAACTGACGTCGCCTTTGTGAGGGAGCCGGTAAAGATGCCGAGGCGTACATTCGTATTTGGTCTAGGTAATCTGTGCCATGGGTACAGCACGTCACGATGAGGACATCGCCCCGCTTGTGACGTATAATCCATCGCATGAGTTCATCTCTTGCTAAGCGATATTGTCGTTGTCCTTGTTTTTCGCATAATAATGAGAGAGAAAACAACAGAGGCACACATTTACTGTGCCCTGTGCCCATCTTCCACTTAATTTCGGAATTCTCGGAACTTCGCTCAACGCCCGGTCGTCCAGTGTCGTGCCAACGCGGTTTGCGCTGAATAATAGATTAAATAATAATAGATATTGAGGAAAATATAAAATATGTAGGTTATTTTTTGTTGTTTATTATACTAGGGCACGTGCCCAAGTGCCCTTACGGACAAACCGCCACTGGTAAAGTGATTTTAAAGTGAAGTGAGTGTTTTGTGTTGAGGTGAGAATAAGTGATATGTATTGGCGGTAGCGCTGGCGTAAAAAAAGACCTCAATGGCGGAAAGTTGGAACAAAACTACTTTTAAGAAAATTATAAAACTCAGTTATGTCGATATATAAGCAGGACCGACGGTTTCATCTTACCAGCACTGTGTTAAATTTAATTAATTCCTGTTTTTTTTTTGTAAACTCTTAAGTTGTTAAATAAAACCCTTTTATTGTTAACATTTTTGTTATTACCCTTTATGTATTATGGTCAAACATCTTCCCTCGGACGTCCTTTTGGGATGTCCCAGGGACGTCCCAAAGATAGACGGAAACGGGACATTAGGACGTCCATTGGACGTCCGATTTACGTCTCGGTGCCAAAAAAAGACGTCCCTCGGCCGTCCTTTATGTCCCTGAAAGACGTCTTTTAGACGTCTATAAGAGGTCCATAAGACGTCCGTGTGCTATGTGTGACAGTAAACAAATTGCAGCCTTGTGCTCACGTTCAGATTTGTTTTTTGTTTTATTGTGGCTGTTGTAAGTTGTGTTTTGGCGTCGGTTCTTTATTGGATTGCTTATTTTTTTAATTTTTTGAGCTTTGATTTCTATAGTTTAAATTATACCTGTTAATTATTTTCCGATGCACTATTTTATAATTGTTGCACAAAATGTTCTTAAACCGTCCCTGCTTCTTGTTTACAAAATGTGCAAAACGAAAATGTGCATAGTCTATACTTTTTTCATTGACAGTTATTATTCTACCCCACTTAACTTCATTGGTACAGAGACGATCTGTACCATCTTTCGTATATATAAGTTCTACAAAACCATAGCTGATATTGCCAGTTTTTGGTATCGCAATTTATTTCAACTCAACTTTAACAATTATACGAGTAACGTCTATCATAAAACTCCCACTCTGACGTCAGGTCGTCGACTTATATAGCTTGCTTGACCTTCTCGAATCTTCTCGAAGTGTCGTCTAGAATATTCTTGACGGGTAATGACATTTCTTGAATATTCTATCTTTTACTTGTACTTTTACTTATGACGACCGCAGCACCCTGTAGAGCGATGAGTAACATTCCACTTCTTTTTCTATCTGTACGTTTCCTATGATAGCCGCAGGCTATTGCAGGGTGCTGCGTAACAATATTATAATCGCATGTCACGTATAAACAACCGATCTGTAAATAAAATATTTCTGTAAATAAAATATTACTTACTTCTTCAAACTAAAAATATATTTATGTATCTTTACCGGCATATCGTTCTTAATATCCATACGAAATGTCAATAAATTTTTAGTCAAAATACAATTATTGATTTTAAAATTTAAAACGACGTCATAGGTATTTTACTTATAGGGTATTTAATATACAGGGTGGGCCACTTAATAGTTCCACCCCCTTATCTTCATTATTCATTGAGATATCGGAATATTTTTGTTTGTTAGAAAAACGGGAACAAACCCCTTTTTTATGGGGAATTCGACTATTCTGTGGCGTCATGGTTTACTTTCAGTTTTTCCGGAAATAACAAAATTGAAACCCACTTTTTATTTTAAATTTGAATTCCTGGGACATTTTTAGATAACCGTATATTGAAAATTTTCTGTCAGCTGTCAAAATGGCCGCCATATTGGATATTTTTTCTAAACATGTTAATATTAATTCGTGTATGGAAAATATATTGGAAAATTATAAAACCTTACCATTAGCCTTTAATTTCAGTTTAGGCTGAGTCTCTTTATGTCTTCTAACGATTTTTGTATGTGAAAAGTTAAAATTGTTTGCCAACAGCAACACTACGATTCGCTCCAGGCTTGTCAAAGTTTCAAAATATTTCGGGATATAAACAAAGTGTGATCCGAATTTAGCTCAGAGGCCGTACTCTAACCCAAAATGTTTAAAATAAACCATTCTCACATTAATATTTCTCTTCGAAATTCAAATAAAAAGTAATTGAAATTTGATGAAAATCATTACATGATTTTCCATGCCGTTTTGTAGCTTGTCTTAAAAAAAACAATTAACGATTTTATAAAAACTCCAACACAGATATAAATAATAATAAAATATTATATTTTTTAAAAAATTAATGTATGAACCGCAGCCGAATATTTTCTGTCAGTTCGATTTTTCATTCCGTGACGTCACACCCTTCCTTAGCAACGAACTGAAGAGGCGACCGTGTTGTCTAAAAACCGTGGGTTGGATCCAAAATATTTAAATTTCATAGCCAACTCCAATTATGATGCTGGTTATGTATTAAAGTTGCGTTACAGACCAACACAACAAACTTAATGAGTAATTTTTTTTTTTAGAGAAATAAGAGGCAACCCGTACTGTACAAAAACATGCCAGCAAGAGGTAGCGCCATCTATTGGGCTCGCCTGCTGTATTACAAACTTAAAAGACCGATTTTAAAATTCCAAAAGGTTCCCGAAATAATGAATTCTTCAATGAAAGATGACACTTTCAATCAGTATTTAAAACTCGCCAAGGAACTGAAAGCTTACGAACAAAGTATGTATACGAAGAATATCGTTTAATTAATTACCCAACTCTGGAATTATTTATTTGTAATCAAATTCGACCATTAAATATTTCTTTAAACTGATTATTTTTACAGTTTATTTTAACTTCAAGACTGAATCATTAACAAATTTTCAACCATATCTGTCTACAAGGTGTTAAAAATACATCAAGGCTAAGCTTATAATCTGACCCTATATAATAAAAATGTCTTTGGTTTGCCTAGAATAGGCAAAAATATTATTTTGAAACAAAATACATAATATATTACATTTTTTGAAATGTATGTTAAATCAGGCATACGCCAGTGAAGTTGGCATAGGTAGCTCTGTGAAGCTGGCCCGCCGAAATTCGAAAATTTTAGTTTTAGAAGCGGCATACGTTTGATTACCCTCAGAAACCTCAATATTAAAAAAATAATGGCCGAGTGCCCGCTGTCTTCCCGAAATTAATAAGATTAACCAATTTTTGACCATGTTTGACCACCCCTTAGATTTTTTTATGATCCCTTAAAATAATTTAAAGGAGGTAAATTATAGAAAAACAAGAGTTTTAGGATGAATTTAAACTTTGAAAGATAGATTAATGGCACAATAGGATCAAAAAACGTTTAAAATTATGTATCGCCGTTTGATCACTACCTAAAATATCTCGAGGGGTTAAAAATTCAAAGAAAACAATTTCCAATCCAATTTCTAGTTCAAAAAAATGGTCAATCGACATAAGGACATAATAAATATCCATAAAGGTTTAAAATTATGTTTTGATCATCCCCCAAAATAGTTTGTGTTTATAAGTAGTGTGAAAATTCGAAAAATAAAATTTGGAAATCGAATTTCGTCTTGGAAAAAATAGTCAAACGACAAATGCACAATAAGGTCCCATAATAGTTTAAAATTATGTTTTGACGTTTGACCAACTGCTAGAATAATTTTATTGTTCCCAAGTAGTGTGCAAATTCAAGAAATAACATTTGGAAATCGAATTTCGGCTTAGAAAGAAAGTTCAAACGATATATAACAAAAAGATATTTATACCAAGTCGAAATACGATTATCTGCTTTTATTTTTTGAATTTTCACACTACTTGGGTACATTAGAATTATTTAAAAGGGTGATCAAACGTCAAAACATAATTCTAAACCAATAATAATCTTTATTGTGCATTTATGTTGATTTACCTTTTCTTTACAATTTAAAATGTAAATTTAAAATTATTGTAGTTTTCAAATTTTGGGGACATTAAAATTATTTTAGGGGGTGGTCAAAGTCAAAACCTAATTCTAAACCGTCATGGATTTTTTTTGTGCACTTAGGTTGTTTGGTCATGTATACTAAGTCGAAATATGATTTCCTTTTATTTTTCGAATTTCACATTACTTGGGTACAATAGAATTATTTTAGGGGTTGGTCAAACGTCCAAAAATAATTCTAAACCATTATTAAGCTCTGTTGTACACTTATCTAGATTAACCATTTTTTACAATTTAAAATTTAATTTTAAAATTTTAGCTTTTGAATTTTTATACTACTTGGGCACATTAAAATTACTTTAACGGGTGATCAAACGTCAAAATATATTTATAATCAATTATTGATCCTTATTGTGCTTTTATGTCTTTCGACCATTTCTTTCAAATCGAAATTCGATTTCAAAATTGAATTTTTCGAATTTTTACACTACTTGGTCACATTAAAATTATTTTAGGGGATGGTCAAACGTCAAAACTTAATCCCAAACTAGTATGGATCTTTATTGTGTACTTATGTCCATTTTTTACAAGTGGAAATCGATTTCCAATTTTTTTTCGAATTTTCACACTACTTAGGCACATTAAAATAATTTTAGGGGTCGTCAAACGTCGTTATGGATCTTTATAGTAAACTTATGTCATTTGACCATTTTTTCCAAGCGAAAATTCAATTTCCAAATTTTATTTTTCGAATGTTCACACTACCTAGAAACGCTAAAACTATTTTAGGGGGAGGTCAATCATCAAAACATAATTTTAAACCATTATGTGGCCTTATTGTGCATTTATGTCGTTTAACCATTTTTTCCAATCCGAAATTCGAGATCCAAATTTTATTTTTCGAATTTTCACAATACTTGGAAGCATTAAAATTATTTTAGGGAGTGGTAAAACGTCAAAACATATTTCTAAATCGTTATGGATATTTATTGTAAACTTATGTCCTTTGACCATTTTTTTCAAGTGGAAATTCGATTTCCAAATTTTATTTTTCGAATTTTCACACTGCTTGGGCACATTAAAATTATTTTGGGGGGTGGTCAAATGTCAAAACATAGTCCTAAACTAGTATGGATCTTTATTGTGTACTTATGTCGTTTGACCATTTTTTCCAAGTCAAAATGCCTTTTCCAAATTGTATTTTTCGAATTTTCACACTACTTAGAAACACTAAAATTATTTTGGGGGATGGTCAAACGTCAAAACATAATTTTAAACCTTTATGGATATTTAATATGTCCTTATGTCGATTGAACATTTTTTTGAACTAGAAATTGGATTGGGAAATGTTTTCTTTGAATTTTTAACCCCTCTGGAGTTATCAAACGGCGATATATAATTTTAAACGTTTTAGGATCCTATTATGCCTTTCTGATCATTGATATATCTTCCAAAGTTGAAATTCATCCCAGAACTCTTGTTTTTCCATAATTTACCCCCTTTAAATTATTTTAAGGGGTATTACAAAAATCTAAGGGGTGGTCAAATTTGGTTAAAAATTGGTTAATCTCATGATGCAGTCAGTTTTAAAAAATAATAACTTCGGGGGGCCGGCGGCCACTCGGCCATAAATATTTTTTAAATATTTTATTTTCTGAGAGTGACCAAAAAAAGTTAGTGGGTGGTCAAACGCGGTCAATAGGTGGTCAAACGTATGCCGTTTCTAAAACTAAAATTTTCGAATTTCGGGGGGGCCAGTTTCACAGAGCTGGCATAGGGGATGTGTGTAAATATAAATCGGAAAGATACAGTTATTTCCAAATATTTTGCGGGTTAAGTGCAGATTCTTTAAGGCAAATGATTTCCAAATAGCAGACTTCATTATTGTTGTAGTACGTTTGTAGCAACCTTTCAGTATTTATAGAATCATGGAAAAACCTAATTTTCTCTTGACCGGTTTCTCAAAAATTTACAAAATTTTGAAAGTGGAAGTTTATGGACATGCCAATTCTTTTTTGTTATTTGCATTGTTGTCAGATTAGAAGTTTTTCAGATACTGATCATTTTGGTTTTTTAAACAACATGTATATTGTTTCATTTTCTTATTCTGCTCCTCAATCGGTGACTCAAGCTAGGCGATATGCCCTATGTAGGACATGTTATGTTTTAAAGTGGGCATGTTGCCAACTGTAGAGGAATTTTACTGGAATAGCGGATTTTCAGACCTGATAGACCTTTTTTAATATTAGCGGTACCTATTTGTGTCTACCAATGTGAGCATATTCTCCATATTTATCGACTAATTTGTGTAACATTGTTTTAATTACCTACATTGAGATTTTTAAAATTTCAGTTAATAATTTATCTCATAAAAAAATCAATTGGCAACACTGACGTGCTCGCTTCATTCATAGTTTTAGAAATTTATAATTCTTTATTGTTGCATTTTTTTTATTATTTGTTGTAATTACATATATGTAACACCATCTTGTGACTAAAATAATATATTTATATTTGAATTTGCCAAAAAGTAAATCGTAAAATTTATTATATTGTTGATTTTATACCGGCGCAATTTCAGGTAGAAATGTAAACCTTTATCATTTTTCAAAAAGGTGTAAAATGTGACCATTTTATTTTGAGAGTGTTGACTTATAACAGAAATCCGCCCCCATTGTTCGAACGGGCTAAATTTTTGTGTTTTTCTTTTTTAGACCATTTCAGAACCTCTGAAACACGCTTAAAAATAATGTTTTGCCCTGCAAACACTAAAAAATATGTGAATTATATCACTTTGACTGATTTCTTGTTGAAGAAACTTCTAAAAATAATAATATAAGACCATCCATAGAGTAATAAACTATGCAAAATTTTTTCGTAAACGTTTATAATTTCTTAGTTTTAAGTAGTTTTTCTAAATAATGGAAGAAAAATAGGAAAAATTATATATTTGCTAATAATATGACAATTGACACTGGAAGTGTGACGAAAGTTCTAACAAAAAGTTTTGCCAGATTAATTGTAACATGTCAATGGTGCATTTTTTTACCTGTTTCCTGTGTTGAATCAGGCCAACAAATCGACTTGCACTCAACAGGGTTGAGCAAAATTGGCGGAACACTCGATTTGTATTGAAAATTAACCCGAATAAAGGTTTTTGTATATTTTATACACTATTTAATGACGTTTGGGGATTTTCATCATTGGTCATATTTATCAAGATATGACGTCATCGGTTGAAATTTTAAATGAATCACCCGAATTTATATGTAGGGATTAAGAGTCTCTGAGTTCAAATATAAAATAGAAAGTAAACATTTATTTAATAAAAAATAATACATACTTTAGATCAATCAAATATTTCAAAGTAAATGATCGAAGTGAAAGTCTCCAACTGCCTGACAATATCCTAGTCTGTCAACAAATGATCTTAGGGCATTTTGTTAAACTGCAGGTGTTATTTCTTCAATTTTTATTTTCTCTTCAAATTATTTCAGCGAATGTGGCAGGTCCTTATGAACTACTGATTTCAAATGGCCCCAAAGACAAAAATCCACTGGTGATAAATCTGGTGACCGTGCCGGCCACTTAATATGTCCTTTTCCACCATCCATCTCTGCGGAAATATTGTAAGGTACTGTCTTACTCTTGCTGGAACTTGCTGGAATGAAATTTATTGACTTTCAGAATCCTCTTTAAGGCGCGTTCCCAGGGGTCGAGTTTAGATGACCGATTTTCGTTGATGTTACGTGACGTTATTTATACGTGCTATGGAGATACTGAGAATGTACTTTAAGTA